CAAAAAAAAAAAAAAATTAGCCTGGTGGCAGAGGTCTGTAATCACAGCTACTTGGGAAGCTGAAGCAGGAGAATCGCTTGAACCCAGCAGGCAGAGGTTGCAGTGAGCGGAGATCATGCCACTGCACTCCAGCCTAGGTGACAGAGCAAGACTCTGTCTCAAAAAAAAAAAAAAAAAAGAATATTAAATTACAAAGGGAAATGTTAATGCCAGCTTAATAATAATTGAAAAGTTTACAAAATAGAATAAATCTGATTTTGCTAAAAGTAATCTAAAATATCAACTGCTATTAAAAAAATTGTGAGATTATAGGTGATTCTACTTCTCTATTTTCTAAAATGAACATATATTACAAGTGTTATTTTTGAAAAGTTAGATTAAAACATGAAGTTATTATATGTTTCTTTTTAAATGTCAGTAAATTTGAACTATATTTTCTTGACAAAAAAAAAATTGGTCCTAGTAGGCAAATGACATATTCTCACTTCACAATCTTGGCTTTGAATTTTCTTTTTAATATCTATTTCCATTGTATCCTGCTTCATAAAGGTGTGTGAGTGTGAGTAGCAGAATACAGAACATTTAAGAGTATATGCAACATCATGAATTACTAGGAAGTCAATTTTTTCCCGTTTAGACATGCATCATATCCTTCTAAAGGAGCTCTATAAGCTTTGGTATATGTTAATACTGGAGAAACAAAACTTGCTGTTATTCTATTTAAGTCTGAATGAAGACTTATATCTTCTCCTTTGTATATGACCAAAGGCATCTTGCAATCTTAATTTTATTCAGGAGACAATCTTTACAGCCAACTGTTCAAGCTCATTAGAGGAAATCTTCATTAGTCTCCTCAGTGAGGGGCACAGATGGTACAATTATAATTTATAAGGCTCCTTTAAAAAACACAAAACAAAATATTACTTGAATCACACAACTCCTTGAATGAAGTAACCCTTCACCTTCAGATATTCCTTCCAGATTATCACTGCAGAGGGAAAAGCGCAAGGTTTTATCAGGTTTACCATGGAGTTTGTTTTCATCAACAGGGACATCTCCTTGTCCTCCATCTGAAAGCTGCATGTTTAGGACCTAAAAAATAAAATGTAAATTTTGGTTTACCAACAGAAAGACTACTGATAAGGAAACAAACCACAGCAAATGCGTATTTAACTCCTTAATCTTAAATTATCAATTTTTAACTACAAACCCATTTAGAATGTGTGTCAAGCTTTTAAAAATCTGTGGAATAAAAGTGTATCAATTAAAACAACTGAAGCTATGCCTATCCATTACCCTACTAGTGTCAAGACTGAACAGGCAACCACACACCAGATGAGTAGTGATGAGAATTATACAAATCAGAGGTCTTTAGTGTCAGCATGCCGGTCCTTCTAATTCTGTCACGTGTCAACTATGTAACCCTGGATAGACAAGTTATTTAAATTCTCTAAGCTTCAGTTTCTTTATCTATAAAATGGTAATAGTAACAGTATATATGCCATGTAATTGCTGAAAATTAAGTAAAAAGATGTTCCTAAAACAGTTGGCATGTGACAAATCTGCAAAATTAAAATGAAGTAAATAAAAGTAAAACAACATGCGAAATTTAAATAAATAAACAAAAGTAAATAAATTCAACTAGAAGGAAAAATGTAATCATGTTATTTTGTAGGCACCGAAGATTTAATCCATCTAGTTTGAACGTCCACTTAATCACAACAAACAGGGCCAAAAAAGTCCATACCGGAAACTGAAGTATGACTTCACAATCCTCCCCAGCTTAGATAGCATGGCCTTTTTAGAATGCTTTCTATTTACCAAATGACTTCCAAATAACATAATTACTTCTCACTACTCCCTACAAGCCTTGTACAACTCAGGTTTGTATGTATATCTCCACCTTAATGAAGAACGGAGTACTTTGTTGAGAGTCACATAGCATGTTTTAGGCACACCTGGGACTGGAACTCAGAGGCCATGGCTCCCTTGGCTGTTACTAAAATATGAAGGAAGAATAGCACCCTCACTTACAAAAAAAAAAGTTCTCACCACAAAAAATGAAAAATATGTGAGGTAATACATGTTATTTAGCCTTTCCACAATGTATATCAAAATATGTATACTATAAATAGACACAATTTTTGTCAGCTAAAAAATAAACGATTTTTAAAAAGAAAAAATACACACTCTTGATTGTTGTTTTTGCTCTGAGTAAATTAAAGGTTTTTAAATGGTTTTATACATTTACACATGATGCCTTTGAATACGGATTTTTTGGCTGGGCATGGTGGATCACACCTGCAATCCCAGCACTTTGGGAAGCCTAGTCAGGCAGATCATCTGTGGTCACATGACCAACATGGAGCCTGACCAACAAGAAACCCCATCTCTACTAAAAATACAAAAATTAGCCAGGCATGGTGGCTTGTGCCTGCAATCCCAGCTACTCGGGAAGCTGAGGCAGGAGAATCACCCGAACCCAAGAGGCGGAGGTTGCAATGAGCTGAGATTGCACCACCACACTCTAGCCTGGGGAAAGAGACTCTATCTCAAAAAAAAAAAAAAAAAAAAAAAAAAAAAAATTTTTTTTTTCCTATTTGCTTGAAATTAAATAGACATAAAAGTTTTATTCATTAAAAAAAAAAATTAAGACAAAGCTCATTCTGTCACCTAGGCTGGAGTGCAGTG